TTTGTAATTGAGATTGTTCAATCTAATGAAAATAACAATGAATATTATATAAAAAATACTAAACATAGATTGTAATTATTTACTTCAGAGGGTAAAGATGTAATTTCTTCAATTATATCAGCATAAAGCATAGAATATTGATCATATTCATTTTGAAGATTTAAATCATCAGAAAACGAAAATAAATCATCAAAATCAAATGATGTCATATGATTCCAAGACTGATCACTAGATATCAAAGCCATTGTTATCAATATCTAAAATAATCAAATTTTACTTCATATTCACAATCAAGAAAAATTATATATTGAAATCCTTCAATAAGTTTTATATCGTTTCATTTCTTATGGAAACATTTCTTTTTTTCTTCGTTTATATAATCTATATGATTTTATTCAAAAAACGAACAAATAGATATGTTTGCATTCTGCTTGGTTTTATTTAGAATTTTTTAAAAAAAGAAGAAATTGACGTAATATTATTTCGAGAAAAAAAAGCAAACTGAAATGTTCGAACTTACGAATAAATCAACGTTAATTTTGTTGTGCTTGGTTATATTACTGTGTGACTACTAGAGAAAAGACGACACTTGTCGTCCTTTTTTTTCGGTTCTGCCAACTAATGGGTTTTAAAAGAATCATGCATGAAAGAAAAAAGACACACATTTTTTTTTATTTTTCTATTCTCCAACTCTCACCAGCTACTCGTTCTCGAAAAAAAAATATCGCTCGGTTTGTTTGTTTGGTCGGTAATGATCTACATGGATGAGTCATCGAAGAAATACAACAATAAGAAAGAAGGCAAGCTATGAATAGTGCTATGAAATATTATCAACATGATCATAGAAAACGTCGTGTATAATAAATCAACACGAATATATATGATTTGATCGATATTCAACATTCGATTAATGCTATGACTAATCATTAAATAAAAGAGGGATGAAGATGAGTCAGCACTTGAGGACAAAAGGACGGTAATGAAAATCGACTAAATCAAGTAAAATCATTTTTAAATTTTGACTGAAATCTTTGCATAGACATTAGACATCAATCAAACTTGCTCATATGAAACATTTCTGAAGTTTCAAATATTGCATCTCTCAGATATTACAAGTTTCAAAAAAGAGGCACTTTTGCATAAAACATGGATTTTGGTAAAGTAAATATCTAGAACATGTGATGATGGAATTAACTGAAATGTTTATATAGGGCAACATTTTGGTCGAAACTACGTAGATATATTCACTAAATGGTGACTGCCACCCATATCCTCTTAAGGCATTCGTATTCTAATGGTTCTCTAAGTAATGTACAAAAGTTAGGATCGAAAGTTTTTCAACACTTCAGAAGGCTTTCTCATGAGTTTCATTTTATTTTGTTACAAAAGAAAAATAAATAAACAAAATGAATTCTTGTTAAATATAGAATTCCAAAATTTTTGAATCTTAATATTTTTCCTTTATAAGCAAAATATTTTGTAATGATAACTTGAAATCTTTCTTATTGAACTTTGTGAACGTATGAATTATGTTATTACTTAATTTGTTGAAAGAACAACAAAAATGTAGATAATAGGAAGATAAGCCAACTCCGGCAGAACTATCTATAGTCTATTTAAATACATGAAAAGATAAGTGGATGCCGAATTTTTCACCAACAATATGATTTTTCCCATTTGGTATGTCGTATTTTTCAAAGATTTTCGATGATTTCCATTACCTGCTGTTTGAAAAAGATCCTTTTTTTGGCTATGCATTTCACAATTATTCGAAGAAGTTTCATTATAACTAATTTTTGTTTGTAAGAGCATGTAAATATGCACTGTTTAATAAAATCCGGCTTTTTGCATTAAAATCTTGTTTTTAATTAAATAAAAAAAAGCATTTCAATAAGAAGAGGATTATTTTTCCAGTGTCTCACAATACTCAATTTGTCTTAATCTTTCTCTGAAAAAAAACTAAGAATTAAAAAGAACAGAAATTCTATCAAATACTGTAGGGTGACATGATTTTTCAAATAAAAACTAATTACAACTGTCAAAATGATCTAATCAGTAGATAATTCAATAATATTTTTCTGATATCTCAGTAACCTGATAAACTAGAATGATTCGTTTTTTTATCAGACTACAACCTATAGTCTCGAATGAACTAATAAAAATTCCAAGTCAATGTATTGGCCTGTTTAACTTTTATTCATGATTCAATTGTAACATATCGTTTTTTCAACCTACCCAAAATATCGAATCACTTTGTTAAAAACTGTATAGCGAATAGTCTTTATCATGGATTTCTTTTGATTATAAGTTTAATAACAAAGGTCTTGTTGACTTATACCAAAAATTGTCAACAGCAAGGCAACAAAAGACATTTTTTCAAATAATTTTTATCTAAATCATTATCTATCATCAGTTGTATTCACAACTATGTCATATATCCTGCTGCCATCGTTTTAATCATTTTAAAGTTTGAAAACAAAATGCTAATTCTGCAAAACTTTCCCTTTTGGATGACCTTCTGTAAGAAAATGGAACATCCTGTTGAAGATTGGGAAATGAATGGTATAGATTTGATCATGGAATTTCATCTTTACGTCTAGTAAGTAGAAAAAAAACGATAAACGATTTCATCTAGAGTCGATTTTGTCCTGTACTGGTTTACAATATGCAAAAACAAACTTCTCCATGATTAACTTTTTGAGACGAAAAGCATGTCAAATCACGAAAAAATCTAGACGGGGTGGTTTAAAAATATTTCTAGACCAATAATAACCGGCTGGTTCACAAAGCTTTTTCAGATGATAAAACTGACATTAGAGACAAAATTTCGTTCTGAATATCGACAGATTTTTATGCTTGTCTTTGTTGGAATTCCAGTAATAAAAAATAGGGGTCAATCTATGGTTGTAACCGGTTGAGAATTTTTGAACTGATTCGGTCCGGTCGGTTCACAAAGCCTTCAAGATCCATGGAAGCCGGCAAAAAGTGGCTGGTTTGTTTGGTTATTATGAATTGGTTAATGACAATGGCTTCAAAAAACATTTATTTTCCTTTTGTTATTCATATTTTTACAATCTCCAGGAAGAAATTTCATATCTTCATCATTTATATCTGTTTAATTTTTCACAAATGAAATATGTGAGATATCAATGCACAGAGCGCGAAAAACAGAATAATGTACTCATCAACTGATTTTTACATTCTGGATTTTGAATTATCTCACGCTACTTTTACAGACAACTCTAATATTTCTCTTCAGACAATGATTCAAACCTAAATTTGATCTTTGACAAAATATTCATCAAATAAGTTTAACTCAAGTAACACAATTTTTATTGGATTTAAAAAAAGAAGTATAATTCGATCAAAGAAATACAACTGTGGATGAACAGAAGAAAATAAAACATGATTTTTGAAACGACACTGGTTGATTATGTTGATACTATGTCAATATTTGTATTCTCTATTGTATGCATGTACATCATGATACTACTGAATTCGAATATAAAATAAAGATTGATTGACGTCATGAGATTTCATCATTGAAATAATTCTTAGTTGCAATAACTGTATTCAACATGTAACCACGTTTGTGTTATATTCGTTCCTACAAATGACGTATTGCATTTGTTTTTATTATATGCGTGCATCATAAACGATAAAATGTATATTAGTGATATAAACATAATGAAATTTCTATATCAATATTGATGAAAAGCGAATTTCACATAAATCGAGATGACTTTACTGATTCAATGAAAATAAAGAACAAATTTCATTCTCAAGTATAAGATCTAAGAAAATAAAACCACTTAATATCTACATTTTATTTATAAAAATAAGTTTGAATTACAAAAACAAAAACAAAACATGAAGTAAAAGTCTAAGGTTTGCTATTTCATCATGATGAAGAGTGTCAAAATAACAATGGACATAAAATAAATATTGTTGACGAATTTTATCTGTCCATTTGTAGGTGTTGTTGTTATTTCTCTATTTGCTCCATTACAAAGATTAGTATTGCAGCAACAGTAATAAAATGAAAGACCAGTCGGGTCTGTATGTCATTCACATTTATTTTCTTTACATTGGTCAGGTATCGCCCAATTTCGAGCGTATGCAGACTCGCTAGTACGATTATCTTTACTGAATGTCTGCATAGAAGGACAGATTTATTATAAGAAATAATATTAAATTTTATACGAAATATTTACAATGCACCAATCACTGACTGCTGTTACTTGTTGGACATTGTTTATTTTCCATGGCTTTGGACATCCTTCTTCATAATAACTGTAACATTTTATGGTAGAACTACTTATTAATACAGCAGCTTTAAACGTCAAAGAAAAGTTTGTACATAAATATTAGTAATATCACTCAAGCTTACTAGTACAAAAAATGACGAATATAAAAGTAAGACTACATAACCGAAACATTTCACTATGTCATAATGAAATAGTCACCCAATTTTCTTATAAGCAAATTTGGCTTACCTTTGTCAAACAATGCCTACTAAGAAATGCATGAAAATAAAAGAACAACACATATTTATAGCAACCATGATCAGTATTTGCTATCAAAATGAAATAGTGGACGCAGCTGATTACATTAAAAACTAAATATTATGTGAAAGAATGCTATGACATATTTTATGACACAACTAAGCAAAATTTTTGTTTTTCTATTAATCACGAACAATAAGCTAATTCTATTGCTTTAAGATTTATTTGCATTCTATAATGGGATGTGGGTGTGTGAGTCTTCACTTCATCCACATCTCACACCCCGCATTAAACGACCTGATTATATGTTTTCTAAAGATTTTCTGAAACCTAAATCCAATTCTAGTGTACTTGATCCATGGAAGAATATACAAATATATGATGAACATTCATGATAGTGAAGATATATCAATGATTTAACTAATATACCATTGTGGTCTCATTTCTTCCTAGACTTGCTAGAGACGTCTCATTCATAAGTACTTTAATAAATAATATCACGCTATCGATAGATCTTCAAAGAAACCTTCGAAAATATAATCACAATTAAATATTAGTGTCCATATTTATCAAAAGAAAATAGACAAATATAGAGGGTATGAGCGTAATTCTGGATATTAAAATAAAAAGCAGCGAACGATACGTTCACATTCATACTCATGTTCTTTTGGGGCTTGTTTAACGCTCAACGTTGTTTTTTTCTTTGGATTTATTAGTTTTTCAACATTTTCTTTTCCTGCACACTTCTTTTTCTCTTCGGCCATATCAATCCATACTTGATTTAATTAATCATAAGTTTGTTTTGTTTTTGTTTTGCTTGAAAAATAAGAAATGTAGTAGTAACAATGACTTTTTATTGACATCTTTGATATGCATATAAAACCTTTCATTGACAATAAAAAAGCCCTAATTCGAAAATGAGTGTTCGTTCTTTTCATCATGTCTTGCAAGCGACCGAGTGAAAGGTAGAATCAATCTATAAATATTACTGTATTTTCAAAAACAAGATCGGTTCTTGCTGTAGTGGTAACAGTAAATCCACAGTGAATCCTTCTAATACGTGTTCTCAGCCTGAACATGAGAACTTAGAAACTTCAATTTTAACACCTGAACCTCAAATACCAAGAACTGAAACACCTGTTATGACACTTAAACCTGTGATAATTAGAGTGCTAAGTCCATTTAAAACATCTGAGCTTCTGATTGTATCCAATAAATCCAAAAATCCATCTGTAAAGCAAGACAATTTCAATTTATCACGGGTTTGTAAATCTAGCATTAGCGAAACAAATCCTTTGGACCTTATTGCTGGCTATCTTAATGAACCTTTGACATCTCTTGAAGAAGCTCTTCAACCATTCCATGGTCAGATTGATCAATTAGCTGACAATATCAAAAAAGCTAAAACAGAATTTTACTATCCATCAGAGCATAAGCGCATACGTGATGGACCAGCTGTTATCTATATTTACACAATGAAATGGAAAAATAGATGTGTCTATGGTCATTTGGAAGTAGCATGGAAGTCTAAGGATCGATCAAAAATGAAGCCATGGCTCATATATCTTCGATTGTTCAGAAGTGCACTTGATAAATTATCTGATATAGAAAAAGAAATTTGGCAAGAAATACTTTATGACGAAAGTCTCTTACAGAAACTAAATTCAAACACGGGAGCACTCTATTCTTACCTGAGCTTATGTTTATTATCGCCTAATGAAATTAAAGATTATCTTCAGAAAAATGCTGGTAACATAGTATTGCTTATTGGTCATAAATCTGTAAATGGAAAGTCAATAACTGAGTATTCTGATAACAAGAAAATAGCATATCTTATATGGCCTGGTACGAAATTAGGTGTATTTAAGAGCAAAAGAAAAAGCTGTCCACAATATCTTCTGGTATGAAACAGGATGCTCGAGCTAACAAAAGCAATGCATGGTCAATATATCCTAATATGAAAGTGGGTGTAGCAAATCACATCGAGATCGATGAAGATGACTCAGTGATTCTACACCTGATAGGTCTTACGGGTAAGTAGAAATACCATAGAGTCGTATTCTTTTTTAATCGACTTCTATTGAGCTACTTCTTACATAAAAGCTCCTATAACCATATTGAAATCTGAATACAAACCAAAAATAGATTATATCTTAATATTTTGCGATAAACGTAGCAGATATGTAATTTTTCTACATTAAAATAGATAAGTTACTGACTCCACATTTATTTTTTAGGCACTCTTCAATCATCGGAAATCAACAACTCAAAAATTCAAATACATTTTGTATGCATGAATTGCAGTCATAGGCATTCACCTGTCATGCAGCATTCGATTGTGTTACAAACTAATGTCGACGCCAAAAGTAAATGGTGAAAACTCATAGATAAATATCTTCCGATCATTTCAAGCTAGAGATATCGGCCCCGCAGCACTAGAAAGAGTAGCTTCTGGGGGTTGCGTCAACGTTCAATCCAATTAGTTACCAAAGGATAAAGTCCTTAATTGGACGTCGAAGATTTTGCGTGTGACCGAACCCGAAGTGTTTTAAATAGATTTTTTTATTTCAACGTGATCTCTAGATGCAGCAAGGGTTCCTCTTTTAATCTACGCAAGGCCGAGCCTTTCATCACGTATCGTTGAGAAGATACGCTTTGTGCAAGATATGCATATTTTCCGTGAAAAACATCTTTTTTTTTCGAGAAAAGAACATTTCTTTTACACTTTCATGGAGGTTTTCAACTACCGCGAGTTGATTACTGGTGATTTTCTGTCTGGTTCAAACATGATTCATGTCATTTATCACCACACTTCGTCGGTGTCCTTCGCATTTCATACAAATAGTGCTGTCTACAGAGTATTTTCGCTTTATTTCGTTCTGACCTGTCCCTCGTACATGAAAGATGTCAGATGCAGTTCATATTCTCTTTATTTATGACCATGGGTTAAAGAGAAGGACCAGACAAATTTTTTTTTGGGTAAATTCCGTTCATGTACATATATAAACTTGTGTATGTCATATTATTGTAAACAGTATTCTCTTGTTTGAATCGTCATGCCACAAGGGCTCCTTTTACTCCTGAGATTAAAGAAATATTTTTTCGTGTGATTCACTTTGTTGAAAGTGAGAAAAATGGACCACAAATTTCGATGAATAATTCAACTGCACGTATCATAGCTATGTTAGGTATTTCTGAATCTTCGTTAATTAATCTAAAGAAAAAAATGAAAACGATCCGAGAAACAAGAGAAGCAGAAGAGAGAGAAGAAGAAGAGAAGCGCTCATGTCTTCGATCATAATCACAAAACCAACCAACCAATGTTTCACACAAAAAGAAAACGGTTTCAACATGGTCTATGCCGTCAGAAATGGAGCGACTTCCACCGAAGAGTGTTCCAAAAGTTATTGAACGGCCTTCAGTTATGTTATCTGAAGAAGCTGATGATGAAATCAGATCCCAATTCCATCTGTTATTGGCTGAGAAAATTTATCCAACGGTTTCTATTCTGCTCGAACGTCTTCTCGCAGCCCGTTCAGACTTTCCGATTCGTTCTGAAACGTCTCTACGACGTCACATGCATCGATTGGGTTTTTCTTACCAGAAGACCAGCAAGGTCAAGTTAGCGCTTGACGATAATATCTTTGTTGCTCAACGTGCTTCCTATTTCCGGAAGCTTACTGATTTATGACAGTCTGGTGCTCTCATCATGTATCACGATGAAACTTGGGTAAACATGGGCGAGGAGAAACGGTCTATTTGGATCGATGATATTGGAAGAGGAAGAATTCGAAAAGGAGATGGAAAACGTATGGCAATAGGAGCTTCTGTTAACATATTATATATAACTATGTATATTTAGGTGCTCGCTTGGGAATATCTGCAATGATTGATACGAGTGGATTTCACTTGCCTACTGTTGAGATCTTTGACTGCTCAAAGGAACATTCAATGATTTCACCACACTTCATCGAATGGATAAAAAAGTCTGCTTTTCGTCTCAGAGAGGATAATGGTAAATTTTTGTCTGAATATGAATATCGAAACATTTGGTTCTTACAAAGGTCCTCATCGTCGAATAGCCATAGTTATTGATAATGCCACATGGCATTCCGAATTAACAGAGAGATCTAAACCCGCGAAACGATCGATGCGAAAGAATCAAATAATTCGATGGCTCAAGAAGCACCGCATTACATTTGATTCTACATCGACAAAGTCAGAATTGTTGGAGATCGCTACTCGTAATAAACCTTCAAAAGAATATAAAGTATAAATAATAATTTTATCTTGTTCACGTTTTTGAAAGAATTCTAATTAGGTCGATATGATGCATCTGGAGTATAATGTGGAAATTGTACGACTACCGATCCGTCATTGTTCATTAAATCCGATAGAAACTGTTTGGGCTCTACTAAAAGACTACATTCGTAGAAACAATACTACTTTCTCGATGACTGCAATTTTTGAATTAGCATTTGAATTTATCGCCCGTTTCGATGATAAAGCTGCATAAGTCGCAATCCTGCATGCCGAGAAGGTAGAGAAGACATACAAACAAGCTGATGATTTTGTGGAAAATACTATTGAACCACAATTAATCGATGATGGATCAGACGTCGAGATCGATTATCTTTCTGATGCTAGTGAAGAGAACACTGAAATATGAATTGATTACTGAAAGTTCTTTCTATGATACAGACATTGCCAAAAGCTTTGAACGAAATAAAGCGAAAATACTCTGTAGACAGCACTATTTGTATGAAATGCGAAGGACACCGACGAAGTGTGGTGATAAATGACATGAATCATGTTTG